CAAGCACTCACTTTAACGCTGGAAACGGGGCGTTCTCGGCCATAGATCTTTCAATATGTAGTCTAAATCTTGCAGCACGGGTGACGTTGGTGTACCGACCGTGCAGACTGGTCCAGCTTCACCAAACATATGGCACCAATAAATGTCAGTGGAAACAGAGAAAAACGTTACAGATTTCACCAACACTGTAATTTCTTCTGCTGTAAAATACATTTCACAGACTAGAGGAATCCAGTACCATGGTGGAATACGGAGACCAAAGAAGCAATAAGGAAAAAAGAAGAGCCCTCAATAGATATAGGCGTACACCAACCAAAGACAATCTTATTTCTTTCAAGCGTCTGCGTACACTCATTCAAAATACTTACAGCAAAACGCTCAAGCTGGGAAAAATAAGTAACAACCATAACTCGGACGACCAGTCACGAATATGGTAGAAAATTCTGTCAATAGCTGGAGAAAATGTTTTCAGTCCTATTACATGCATAGAACACGACGGGCAACTCTGCAACCCTGATGAAATAGCCAACGCCTTAGCGACTCAATACTCCAAAGCCAGTAACACAACCAGCTACCCTCAAGACTTTCTCGACAAAAGGGAAAAAGAAGAAGAAGAAGAAGAAGAAGAAGAAGAAGAAGAAGAAGAAGAAGTACTAGACTTTACAACCGATATCGATAAGCAATATAACAATCTTTTCACATGGAGACAATTACAAGACGCCATAAATGCAGCCGGATACACAGCAACAGGATCAGACAATATGCTCTATAGCATACCACATCGGTTACCGAAGGAAATACTGCACACCTTGTTAAACTATACAATAACATTTGGACACAATAATTACCCCAAAGTCTGGAAAGAAGAGTTAATAATTCCACTTTTAAAGGCTGACAAGAATCCATTAAAACCTGAAAACTATCGCCCGGTATCGTTGACGTGCTGTCTTGTAAAAATCTTCGAAAAAATAGTTAACATCCGGCTAACATGTGTTTCGAAAGAAACAACCTCCTGAACATACATCAGTGCGGCTATAGAAATCACTCTACAATCGACCAGCTAACTTGTATCTGGAAAACGCAATTCAGAATAGGTTTATCCTGCCTTCTTTAAAAGAAAACATGTAGATGACATTTCTATAATTTATTCAGCCAAATCACGGGCAATCATAAAATTCAAAATGCAAAATGCCATCAATAAATTAGTTCAGAACGCGAAAAGCATTGGTTTCTTATTTACAGCAGCTAAAACCAATGCGTTCACTTCTGTAGGCAACGGAAAAGATACAGAGATCCTGATCTGGCGCTAAATGGTGTTCAACTGACGTATAATTAAACGGCAAAATTCCTTGGTTTGATTTTTGACAGTCATTTAAACTGGAAACAGCATCTAGAATATATTTTGCTAGATACAGAACAGCTCTGAACGTAATCAGATGCATTACCCTTATATATTGGGAAACATATAGAGACATCTTACTCCGGCTGTGTAAATCCATGGTGATGTCCAAAATAGATTATGGGTGTGCAGCGTAGTGCTCAGGCAGAAAGTCAGGCTTAAGGAAATTAGATCCCGTTCACAACGCAAGCCTCCGTTACGCATCTAGAGCGTTCCGCACTAGTCCTTCCTTAAGCATCTATTGTGAAACCAGTACCATGTCGCTACATCACAGACGACGAACACTGCTACTCAACTATAGATCAATAATGCTGTCACTACCAGAACATTTAAACCATTCATTGATGAGTCGACTTAACTTGACAAAGATTTACGGTCGAAGACCTTCAGCTACCCGTGCAGACAACATCCATCGTTCCACCGATAGCCAAATGCCATCGTTCTACCACCAGTTTTGATACATAAACTACATGAAATTCCAGTTTGGATGCTGAAAATGCCAGAAGTTAAACTCTATACTACCAATGTAAAGAGAAAAGAATGCCTTCCCATAGAGCTAAAATTCAGATTTCGATCAGTTCTCGAAGAATATATGGCAAGTCACACAAAAATCTACACAGATGGTTCAAAAACAAAACATCGGGTAGCAAGCGCATTTGTAACTGAAGACATATAAAAAAACTTGGACACTTCCAGCAGAAGCAAGTGTGTACACTGCCGAATTGTATGCAGTATTGCAATCTTCGCGACACTGTGAAACTCAATTCAAGAATATTCGTCTCTGCATAGACTCGCTAAGACTTATCACTGCAAAAAACAGACGCCAAACTGTAGACCTACTACTACAAATGATTCTTATACCATGCCATAAATTAAAGCATGGAGAAGTATCAGTCACGTCCATCTGGTGCCCTGGACACATGGGTATCCCAGGCAATGAAGAAGCCGATTCTGCAGCAAGAAAAACCCGTAAACAACCAATCAGAAATGGATATTGAAGTACGACTTCAAGATGCAAGAAATGCTCCTTCGATGTGCATCCTCACAGCATGGCAGACCAGGTGGCATAGCCTTCACACGAAACTTCGCCGATTAAACAGGTCATCAGTAAATGGTCACCAACTGTCAGCTACCCTCGACGAGGACAAGTGTGCGTAACCAGACTAAAAGACAGGCCACGCAAGAATAATTTCTTCATACATGCTAAGGAATGAAGAACAACCCATCTGCTGCTACGGAAGACGTCTGGCAGTGAAACATACTCTGAAAGATTGTGTAGATCTCTCAAGACTTAGGGACAGATGCAGCATGAGAGGCAACATGAAGGAAGACCTCGGAATCGAGAAGACGGCAAATGACAGAACAATAAAGTTCCTGAAAGAGGCCGTTCTTTTCTACAAAATTTAAATAGTATATGATTAATTTTAACATCAATTAGTAAAAATGCAAAAGGCCTCAATTGCCAAGCCTTCAAAGTACCCAAATAATAATAATAATAATAATAATAATAATAATAATAATAATAATAATAATAACAATAATAATAATAACAATAACAATAACAATAACAATAACAATAACAATAACAATAATAATAATAATAATAATAATAATAATAATAATAATAATAATAATAATATAATAATAATAATAATAATAATAATAATAATAATAAATTTATATTTTCATGCCTTAGTACAAAACTAATCAAGAGATATTATTTCTGTAAATTGGGGGGGGGGCTAAGAATCACAACATGAACATCCTCCACTACTGCAATGTAATGCAGCATAACGTTACCTAAAGCTTTGTTTCTTCAGTGCTTGCCCCACTTAGCTCTGCCTAATTAATGATGACTCCTAAATACACTGATACTTAATAGTTAATGGCTAATTACACTTAAAATTGTTATTAAAAATCATTTTCTTAGGATAAGATCTATTACATTCAACTATTAAAATAATTCCAAGTAATTCAACAATGAAATAAATCATCGATTACAATGGTTTCCTATGCATGAAAGCAGGGGCAGCAAAATACAACCTGGATAGATTTAACTAGCACCAATAAATCAGCTTTTGGAGTTTGAATACGAATGAAAGCACAAAAGTTAAAAATATTGAACATCTTAAAATACAGTGAAACACTGATTTAGTGGTACCTTGGTTTATGGTAATTCCATTTCTAAGGTTAAATATTTGTAGTCCCAAAAATGCCTCCAAGAGAACAATGCATTTCCATCTCCCACTTAAAGGAAGACAGTCCGAGACTGAACAGGTCTCTCTTTATGTTTTTGGACCAATCATCATTCTTTATGACAAAATAATACACAAGCAGAAACGCAGAGAAAGGCAAAAACATGACATGTTGCCACCAGGAGCAGTGCATTTTTTTGCCTGTTTGCTTTCCTCTCAAGGTGCTGTGCAGTAGTTGCTGAACATTCAAATGTTCAACAAGTAAACAAATTACTGTTCTAACTATTAAAAAATTGTTGTAGACACTGTTTATAAGGTTAGTAATAAGAAAATAAATGGTATATTCAAAATTTGAGCTTTCCGTCGTTGAAATTGCCTGACTCATTTAGCATAAAGCCCTATGCTAGATGATAATCATACCAAAAATGTATGATTTCTGATACCAAGAGTGGAAACCCCCAAAAATGTAATAATAATGACAAAGATTTTTTTAGCAAAAAAATACAATCACCAAAAACCAGAACTTTTTAAACCATTGTTTTAAAAGTGAAAATCCCTTCAACTAAACTTTCAGCGTTTCTTGTAACCTGTACTACAAAGTGATGGAACAATAACAAAATGTAAAAGAAGATCCAAAATGGTCTCATTTTCTAGATTACAGCCCAGAAAACACAATTTGCCACAAAAAAAAAACAACAACTGTGTTTTAGGCTTTAGGATGCATCATTTCCGTGGTAAGTACGATGGTAAAATGTGTTGCGGTGTAATGTGTTGCGAGTTGCATGTGCACCTAATAATCCAAATACGTCATCATCTGCAAACTTCTTTGTTTTTGTCATATATCTGTTTAATTCACCCTAGGGAGGTAATTCCCTATCAGGCAGTATCATAATTATTGAGTTTTTGTTTGATGATTTCTTATAAAAGGGAATAAACTCATCTTCCCTTAACCTATTATATATAGAAGGAATAAAAATCTTACAGTTGAATAAATTTATGGTTGTTACCAAAAAGTACACAATTTTACATAACTATTGATTTCTTTATAAAAAAAATAGTTTTTTGACACACTTCACAGAGCATTATTGGATTACAGCCATAGTTACCAATAATACCACAGAGCATTATTGAATTATGACCCTAGATTCCAGGGATGTGAATATAACAAAAAACACAACAAAAAAAATTGTCATAAAACGTGTCGAATGATAACTGTTAGAAGTGGTCAATGTCACCCTGTCTTACACCTTTTAAAGGAAAGCATACAACACTATAACTTGACAATTTTTTTCCCACAGAAACATTGTACTAATGAATTGATTCTATTGCATCTTATAATGTAGAACACATCTTTTTTATATATAAAAAAATTAAAGTATAAATGACATCAAAACTGAATGAATTACCTGGGAGTTGTGGAAGCCAGAGAAAGAGCTGAAAGAGAACTTCGCCGTGAGACTTGTTCCCAGAGCATCATTTGTTTTGAATATAGTTCAGCAATATGCTGAGGTACAAGTTCTGTACCCCATCCTCGATGCTAAAAAAATCAATATTAGCACAGTATTAGAATTAATATCTATATTTACTAAGATAAAAAAGTCACATATTCTACTAAAAATGGGTTTATCTTGATCTAAAACATTCAACAAACAATCAATTTCATACCTTATATTCACCAGCCTTCTTGCGTAATTCAATGACTTCTCTATACCAAGAACCTCCTCGAGGAAGTTCTGGAAAAGGCAAAGATATAGGTTCACTTTCTGGCTCTGGTTTCTTCTTCTGAAATTTTCCTTCTACGTAATCATACTGTGAAAATGGTCTAAACTTCTTCTTGTATTCTGTTTTAAACTCCTTTCTGTCATAACAAAAAGTTAAATTAAAATGAGCATTTAACACCATTTTTAAAAAATTGTATTCCTATTATTTGTTATATACAGTTGTATTATGGTATATAATCCTTAAGAGCTGAGGTGGAATCCTTTTGGACTTTATGAGTTTTGACTTCTCCTTATCTTCTAAGCCAATTAAATATATTCTTCAGATACACGTTTGTTGATGTGAGAATTGTAAATATTGATATTTTCAACAACCATTTTCCAAATGGACACTACCTCAACAGCAGAGTAAGAGTTCCATTTTTGCTTGTTTTTCAAACAATTGGCACTACATTAATAGTTTTTTTGTTCAGAAAGATAATTGGTAATGTTTTATTAGCAACGTGTATACAATCCATACTAGAAAGAATATAGAATTGTTTCTTATGATCAAGAAAGTAAATTTCTATGATTACAAAAAACATTTATATTTATTTTATAATTTATTTTGTGCATTGTTAGGGAACGTATTAAGTTTATTACATTACATTAAATGATTTAATAAGTCAAAGTCTTAAGTCCACAAGAACCCTCACATCAATAAAAATGGTAATTTTTTCACCTCAGTTAAGGTAAGGGATTATATTATTTAACACTATAATCTATATAACTAATTTTCAATACATGGAGAAATTGAAATAAAACTATGGAGCATCCAACCATGTGACAGTTCTCTATGGTTTCATTAGCTACCCAGCAATTCAAAAAAATCAAAAACCAATTAAATAATTTTGATTATGACTGAAAAATGCAAATAATTGATTGTATTATTCTGCTTGTGCATAAACTGTGCTTACCAACCAAATTCTCATATCATTGGATCACTGCTTATGACACAGCTGATATCATGCAACAACAAGGCTCTAAGAAGGCTCACCAATAAATACTTGCTATTCATGCAATGCATAATGGAGAAGCAATTTTTTTGATATTCTTGGTACGTAAAGACTGTTTTTGTTAAAATATTTTATTTATTGCAGTATTACACAAGAGTATTTTATTTGTTCTTCTTGAGCATGCTACTTTTTGGAAAACCATTTTGTGTGGTTTTGTTCAGCAGCATTTATGCTTCTGCAAGTTACTAGTAATATTTATTCATGATCTTAATCATTATTCAGAGGTAAGTAGGATGGCAAGGCACATTCATTCTTAACAGTCACAATATTCAGTAGATCTCTTTTATAAGACACATCTAGGTTCACAGATTTTTATTTTTTAAGTGGTAATTCTTGTAAGTGGGAAATGCTGTAGTGAAGACAATTTATTTAGGCAGGCTCTTTTCCCTTCCCGCAGACTCTACTCCATGACCATGACCGCGTATTCCCCTCTCAACTCTCAACATATAGACTTGAATGTTGGCTGATGGTTACTATTGACTAGAGAAGGTAAAAGAACAAGGGAAACGTAAGTAGTTGGAAGACATCAAAAATGACCTTGAATGGTCTAAATTTATTGTTTTTAGTTTAATTGTATATCTGCAAGATAAATTTTTATTTCAAGTTATCTTACAATTTTCTCTTTGCTATTTTACGTACAACAGTAAGTTTTTCCAATGCTGACATTAACTTCCTTTTCCAAGCCATCCCAAGTGAAATTCTGCCCCATTCCCACTTCCCAAAAATCTAAATGGTGGAAGTCTTCTAAATGGTTGGAAGAAGTGCTAAGATGTTTATCCCATCATACAATTAATAGTAATTTCACATCACCCAGTCCTCTAATCAGATGAGCCCACACAGAAAATACATTGCAAGATTTCTCATCCTCAAAACTAACTTATTTTCAAATATAAGATGAAGGCAGACATAATACTGTATACCCATTCTTATATGAAATGAACAACAGAAATTAGGTTAGAGGGTCAAATTTCATGCAGGTACGTGCATTTAAATCACCTTTGATGCCCTCACCAAAACATTACATGTCAGATACTGATGACTCATATGTTCAAATAATATAATTTTGGCTACACCTGTTTATGATGTTTATGTCTTATTTTTTTAAGTGGTCATATGATTTATAATTTATTGATTGCTGTGAAAATAATTGTTAATTATAAAATTTCTCAATTCAGACATCTCATCATGTGTCTCTCTTGTACAAACATATTCTATAAATAAAACAAATATAATTTTTTTAAATATATAGATTGCAAATTTCACCTTCGTCTGTGTTTATCATCTTTGTTAAGAGTTTCATCTTGAATTTTATCTTCCCCAGTTAGTTCTTCTGCTTCTAAAGATGTATCAACACCAACAAGAGGTTCTAGTTCTGATGCACCTAAAATCAACAAAATTTTTAAAGTATGTGGAAGATTATAGAATCTTCTATATTTCTGTTACAGCACTCTACAAGACTATGTATGCAGTGCCTAATTCTTGCAAGAAATATGTAGTCTATAAAGTGATCTATAAAAAATACATTATCAAAAAGAAATCATTGCTAAGAGGAAAATAAAGAGTAATGTACAGAGTAAAATCTTATCCTCACTTTCACCACTATAAACAATTGAATGAGTCTGTCCTTCTTAATCAAAGTGAAAATAAGTCGATCACAGCTCCACATAATCATCCCTACACAACTAGTTCAAATTTTCTAAACATTACGTTTCATATAATAATGTGTTGTAAGAAATTGGCCTAGAAAACTTATTAGGAATGATATAATGCAAATTAAAAGTGCAATTTCCACATTTTGCATTTTAAAACATTTTATTGCCATCTTTTCTATGTTTGGAATGCTGAAATTGTAGCAACTGCTCAGTTGACTGTAAGTCTATTTTGAATATTTTGTGGGGAGGTTCTTGCAGAACAAGCAATAACCAAAATGAATGCTAACCAAATACTAAACAAATTCTATAATACTTATTTCACTATATACTTTATTTGGATTTAACTAATTTTTGTTTTTGCAGAGATTTCTACAGCAATTTCAATATTAACTTAAGGAAGCCCAGGAAATTTATTGGGGGAAAAAAAATAATTCAGGCAAATGAGCATAGTTTTGGGCATTTAAAAATCAGACAATATTCTAAACCATGGGCACCCATAAGTTGGGGGGGAGGGGGTTAAAGTCACATCTTGAAATTCTAATCTGATAACTTTTTTCAGCAGGTAAATAAATTTGTATCGATGTATTAAAATTGAATCATTTTTACATGATATATTGAAGCCCAACTATGAATTCAGCATATGCATCAGAAAGGTGCACAAAATTGCATTACTTGATTTTTTATAAATTTAATTGGCATTAACATGTTTTTCACACAACCCCCAAAAAATAAAATGCAGTTTTGAAATGTCACTTTCTCTGAAGATCTTGAACAATTAATTAAATAAATTTATTTCAAAGAGCATGAAGAGAATTCACCATTTATTGTACATATTAATTATTATTAAACCATAATTAAAAATTGAATGTAATATGTAAAGTTATTTTTTTTCATAAAATATTTATGCATCAACTTTTTAAGACAGGAGTAAGGTTTGCTGAATGCAGAAATGCCTTTTTCACATTTCTGTTCTCCTGGAAGGACAGAATGTTTTTCTTTCAAGATTAAAGGGAGTTATGTTGTTACAGTTCCTCTCTAGATTCACCATGATTATTATTCTTTTTATGACTTGTATGTTGTTCGAATGTTTATAAAGAATATTAATAAAAATTAAGTATCAGATAAGGATATACGCAAATCAAAAATAGTTATTTTATTCAGATAAAAGGAATACCTAAATAATACTGAATTATAATAATTAATTTTCCCAAAGCTACTACTACTTGTAAATATAAAATTTCAATAGTTAGTATACATAAAATATTAGTACAAAATGATTTTATACGAACATTTCTGGCAAACACAAGAAAGTAATAATTTGAATTCTTTAAAGCTAGATTCACAGATCAGAACAATCATCTAAAAAATTGTTAGGAATGATTGCAATTACAAACTGTTATACATTAATTTTAAAAAGAAGAAAAAACAAGTTAAAAGAAACTTACATTCACAGATACTAATATGATACAAAGAAATAAAACAAAATGAAATTTTGGAATTATTACTATTTAGCAACAGTAACCTTCCACCAAAAATACAAAATGAATTCTTACTTTCTTTTAAGAGGCATGGCTTAACAGTGCAAATGTGTTAATATAACTTTCAATAATTCAAATTTAAAATGTCAAAAACACATGCAATAATTCTAATTCTATTATATGCATTCATAGAGATTCTCAATAATTCTCCTAATACACAAACCCATTTATAACTTCAGATACAGCCAAATAATTTAAAGAAAATAAGAAATATTTCTTTCCATTTACCTTCATCTCCGTGATCAAATTCATTACTTCTCTTTTTATGGACGGGAACAGGGCCAACATTTGCCACAGGTCGAATGGCTCCCATGGACAGAGATTTGCGAGGAGGCCCACTAGCTCCACTGCCTTTCCCTTCGTCAGTCCTCATATTGTGTCCTCGACCTCCTCGAGGCCACGCAAACTGCAGGCGGTATTCAGTGCTGATACGTGAGATGGCATTGCTCAGAGGACCAGCAGATTGGGCAGGAGCGGGAGGGGGATAACTCGCGATCATCTGCATACACATGTAGTCACCAACAAAATGTCACAATAACTCCCTGAGTTGAATATTAACTTCCTTCAAGAAGTATTATACAATTCCAAGAAACTGAACAATAATTGATTTTAACCTGTTCAGAATGAACAGAGTTCTTTTCTTTGAGGAAGTTTTGAAGCTGGAATCCACAATACAATTTTATTTATCTGAAAAATATTTTTGATAAAACATTTAAATTTAAAATTCTTTATTGAATGAAGCTAGAGAAGAAATACATTATTAATTTAAAAGGTTGACTTTCTTATGCTTTATCTTGTTTTAAATTTACAAAGATTCACCTGCATAAAATTAAAACAAATTCATATTATTTATATAAGCAACATTTTCAATACATACACACGTTTTGAGCTGAAA